TATTGTCCAAAATTTATATAGATCTACTGTCATTAGAAGGAGCCCTAGTGGCGCAGTGGTTTAAGCACTTGGCTGCTAACTGAAAGGTTGGTGGTTTAAACCCACCAGCCGCTCTTTGGGAAAAAGATATGGCAATCTGCTTTGGTAGAGATTACAGCCTTGGAAACCCTACGGGGCAGTTCTACTCTGTTCTATAAGGTTGCTGTGAGTCAGAGTCGACTCAACAGCAGTGGGTTATAGGTATGTCGTTAGACTTTCTAAAAAGTAGTTATGAAAGGGAGATGTTGAACCCTGCAGGAGTTCCATGTCACTGACTTCTTGAAGAAAAGCTTTGTCATATATTAATAATGTCTGTAGATAAACGTTTGGTTTTAAATCTGAAGCTTAAGTGTTCAGAAAAGTAGACACAATCTATACTAACAGGTTTTTCAGCATTATTAACCTTATGTAATTTAGCTTTTAAAGATTACCTTGGGCAGTTGAGAATGGAATAGTCATTGAACTAGATACATGACACTTTGAATTTCATTTTTTCTGGATGCAAATATTTTGAATGTAGATAGTTTTGAAACTCCTTGTTTACTAAATGAGGATGTACTTTTCCTGTGGCTAGCCACCTGCACCCATCCTGTCCCATTATCCAGGTAATCAAGGAAATTGCTTAGAAATCATAGAATTGTATATTAAGAATTTAATCTAGTCCATAGAAACCAGATTATCCTTATCCCACACCTAGTGACCTGAAAAAGGACCAGTAGTTGCCATTGCTCTTCTTCCCTTGACATGAGATATAATGTTTTTGTACCTTACACATTTTCGTTTAAACTAAAAAACTTAAACGTTCATTTGCTAGTCGATACAGGGTCAAGACTTTTGAATAAACCATAAACCATTGGTAAGCCTCTTTTGAATAAAATACAAAGGTGAAATCTGATTGGCAGTTGTTTAAAGTAAAATTGAACTTAGAGGTGCTTGCAGAATCTTTCTGAGTTTTTTCTTTTTTTCCAGTCTTTTACAGTAGTCTTATCCATACTTAATTTGATAGCAGTTTTAATAATCCACCTTTAATGAATCTTTACAGAACTTTCAGGTTAGTCTTTTTGATACACACTGTTCTGCCATTATTTCATCCATTAAATCTCAGTAGTTATAAAACAAGTACAACTGGCATAATTTAGGAACAAGCCTAATTTCTTAATTAAGCTGATACAACTCCATTGGTTGGGAGAGCGGAAGAGCTAGTAAGGGCCAAGAGTGAGTGCTTAGGCCAGGGTTGAACGCGTTTACATTTACTACTCATTGACACTCAATAGTCTTATGAGGATACTTAATTTTTACAGATAAGGAAACTAGGGCACTGAAAGGTAGCTTATTAGCCTATAATTTTGTGCATCAAGGAATGGAACACGCTATGGTTATAATCTTCTGCACAGATTCAAGTTCAAAGCTATATCTTCGATACTTGTTAGATTTACTTACTGTGGCTCTTTAGTTTCTAATTTTGGTACTTAAGTCCTTTTTGCTGATACTTAAGAAACCTTGAATCTAAGGCTGTCTTACATTCTGTTTTACCAAAATCACTATATATGGACTTGATGGTACCCTCAATAACAGCTCAGCTGCTAACCTTATGGGGCAGTTCTACTCTGTCCTGTAGGGTCACTGTGAGTTGGAATCAGCTTGACAGCAGTGGGTTTGGGGTTTTTTTTGTTTTTTTTGTTTTTGGTTTGGTACCCTCAAAGACAGTCATCAGTATTTTGGCTAAGGTTTTGTTAACTTTGTGTTGATTTACAGTGCTTTCTCTGGATTTGCCACCGTCCTGCCAGTTATTCACTTGAAAAAATAATGGTGGTGGAAGCGGAAGAGTCCCATCCAGATAAAGAATGACGAAAGCAGTGCTCAGACCAGTTAAGCACTAATTGATCTCTGCTGTGAGGTGATAGTGTGTCTGTAGGCAAACATGTGCTGCTTTCCTATCAGATTGACAGGGTTACATGCCGGGAGGAGCCCTGGTGGCATAGTGGTTAAAGAGCTCAGCTTCTAACCAAAAGGTCGGCAGTTCGAATCCATCAGCTGCTCCTTGGAAACCATATGGGGCCATTCTACCCTGTCCTATAGGGTTGCTATGAGTCAGAATTGACTTGACAGCAACCGGTTACATGCCTGGGTTGGTAGTTCCCTGGAGTCCCTGGGTGGTGCAAATGGTTAAAGCGCACAGCTGCTAACGAAAAGGTTGGAGGTACAAGTCTACCCAGAGGCACCTCAGAAGAAAGGCCTGGGGATCTACTTCTGAAAAATCAGCCATTGGAAACCCTCTGGAGTGCAGTTCTACTCTGACACACATGGGATTGCCGTGAATCTGAATCGAGTCGATGGCAACTGGTTTAGTTATTTCCTTATATTCCAACTCAAAGTTTTGGGGGGTGGGATTTGGGGAAAGGTGGGAATTGCTGATCTGTTAGCCTGGAACTTTCTAGTAGGGCAAGGTTGAGATCCTAGCAGCCGACTCAAGTAGGAGGGGAATCCTGTGCTGGCAGTGAACTTGTAAGAGCCAGCCACTGCTCTCTGGCAGTGGAGAGGGAGCTGGGCAGATAGAACTGCTGGCACGCGTGTTGAAGAAAATCGGTGCCCACACTGGGGACTAAAACTTTGTTCTAAACTTGATGTGTTTTCTGGTGAGAACTGTTTAAGTTTCCTTGAAGGCAATATACTAAGATAATTTTGCTAACATTTTTGCCTAAGTTGGTTAAGGCACCTGCTACCTTCCTAAACATCATTCGTTTATTTATCATAGCCTGTTTTTTAACTTGGTAAATTTCAACCTAACTTAGCCCACAAATTTTCATTTATAAGATGCATATATAATACCTATTTCAAGAGATTAGTTAATCTCTAGAATATTTCTCTATGATACATATAGTTTTTTTTTTAAAAAAGGCTTGTACATTTCAAGCTTAATACTGTCGTAGAACAGTATTAAGCTTGACTTTTCCTGTAAAGGGCCAGCTAAGTATTTTATGCTTTGTAGGCCATGTGGTCTCTGTCACAACTACTCAGTTCTGCATTGTAGCACAAAAGCAGCTGTGGACAGTCAGTAGATGAATAAGTGTGACTATATTCTTTTTTTTTTTTATTGTTGTAATTAAATGAAGTTTACATTTCAAGTTAGTCTCCCATACAAAATTTTTTTTTTACATACGTTGTTATGATACCTAATTGCTCACCCCATTCTGTGATAGCACACTCCTCTTTTCTGCGCCGATTCCCCATGACCATTCAACCAGCTCCTAACTCTCTCTGCCTTCCCGTCTCACCTCTGGACAGAAGCTGCCCCTTTGGGCTCTTGTATCTACCTGACTTAAGGCATACTCTTCACAAGTATCACTTTATGTCCCACAGTCCAGTCCAATCCCTGTCTGAAGAGTTGGCTTTGGAAATTGTTTTAGTTCTGGGCTGATAGAGAGTCCAGGGGCCATGCTTTCCAGGGCGCCTTCAGTCTCAGACCATTAAGTCTGGTCTTCTTACTAGAATTTGAGTTCTGCACCCCATCCTTCTACTGTTCTATCAGGGACCCTCTGTTGTGTTCCCTGTCAGGACATTCATTGGTGGTAGCCGGGCACCATCTAGTTCTTCTGGTCTCAGGCTGATGAAGTCTCTGGTTTATGTGGCCCATTCTGTCTTTCGGGCTAATACTTTCCTTGTGTCTTTGGTGTTCTTCATTCTCCTTTACTCCAAGTGGTTGGGACCAATTGATGCATCTTAGATGGCCGCTTGCAAGCTTTTAAGACAGCGGACGCCACTCACCAAAGTAGGATGTAAAACATTTTCTTAATAAGCTTTGTTATGCCAGTTGACCTAGATGTCCCCTGAAAGCATGGTTCCCAGACCCCACATCCCTGCTACTCTGTCTCTCAAAGTATTTGATTGTATTCAAGAAACTTCTTAGCTTTGGTTTAATCCAGTTGTGCTGACTTCCCCTGTAGTGTGTGCTGTCCTTCCCTTCAACTAAGATGATACTTATCTACTATCTACTTAGTGAATAACCCTCACCCTCCCTCCCCACCCCCGTAACCATTAAAGAATGTTTTCTTCTGTGTTTAAACCTTTTCTTGAGTTCTTGTAATAGTGGACTTATATTTATATAGTATTTGGAGTGCGACTATATTCTAATAAAATTGTATTTATGGACACTAATTTGAATTTCATAAAATTGAGAAATGTAAAAATCAATCTTTGCTCACAGGCTGTACAAAAACAGGTGGCGGGTCACAGTTTGCCAGCCCTTGTTCTAGATCATAAATTACAGCTGCCTGTTATCAGACTGAGTGGCTTTTGCTTATTTACATAGGTTTGGAATATGAAAGCACCCACTTTCCACCTAATCATAAGTGTGATTATAACAAGCACTCTCTCTGTACCAAGCATTAGCTTTACCAAGCATTTCCTTGCTCCTTATTCCATAACATCTGTTATTTTCTAAGTATTCTTACCATTTTAGAGGTGAGGGAACTGGCTTGGAGAGGGTGGCTTGCCTATGGTCACAAAGAATAGTTAATGAAAGATTCTGTAAATTAAGTGTAACTGATGTGACCACAGACTATAGTGCATACAATCTAGGGGTATTAAACCAAGTCTCTGCTTTCATCCTTTCTTAGTATCCAAGAATTGGAGAGTTTTATTAAATTGAATCGGGTAGTTTAAATGAGTTCACTAGGAATGATTTAGTAATGGGATCATGCTGTTACTGAATTCTAATTTCAGAATGACAGTGCTTACGAAGGCTATCAATCTCTTCTTTTATGGTGTAATGTGTGCCCCTAATAATTAAAACACACACACACACACACACGCACAGATTAATCTAGAATAGATTTACAATCTTGCAAAGTATGAGATTGAGTTTATGAGTGTTGTTTATACCCCTAAAGCGCTTCTCAGTTCAGGCTGGACAGCCATAGCTAAGCCAGAGAAAAGTGTTGTAATAGTGGGTCTTCTTGCAGGTACTGCTAGTGAGTAGCAGTCGGTATCCAGACCAGTGGATTGTCCCAGGAGGCGGAATGGAGCCAGAGGAGGAGCCTGGCGGTGCTGCCGTGAGGGAGGTTTATGAAGAGGTAAGATGAATAGTAGTTTGTTTGTTCCCCTTTACACAAACTGTATTTTGGCATTTTTATAGGAAAGTCTTCTGTTTGATGTTTACAAACAAGGCATTTTGCTACATAACATTGAGGAGATGGCAAGAAGATGGGCAGGTCACATGGGTGCTTTTGTTTTGTCTGATGTGATGTTTTTAAGCATGTAACTATAGCTAGCATTTTTCCTAAACAGATATTTTTTTCTACCTTGTAAAATGGGCTAAAATTTAATGTGGAAGGTCCCTGGAATTGCATAACATGATGGCCTTACTCCAGAGAAAGATTAGTATTACACTGAGCAAGAATGCTCAGAAACATGAATTGTATATAATTGATTCTTATTCAAGTGAATCAGAAGTACATTGCTTTTATTTTCCCTGTTTTGTCTTAAAGTTAATTAAAATGTGGTGCAGACATGTGCATAAAAGCATACATGGCCTGCTTGTCTTCTTGTAGTTGGTAAGTAATGGATAGAACGTGCTTTTATGCATAGGCAAACAGACCATACATTAAGTGCCATCAGAAGTTACGGAATAGTGGTTATGGTATAAGTGGGAAGTGACTGTGGTGTATACTAGGAAAGGTTCCAAAGGGTCTTGAAGAATGAGTGCCTTCCTGAGGGAAGAACACTAAGTAGAGGAAGCAGCATATAGCAGTCTATTAGTCTGTAGTGTGGATGTGAGCAGGGAGCACAGTGAAGTTCCAGTCCATCTATTACAGTGCTAGGTGTGAGTAATGAGGATTTTGCAGTAGAAGGGTAGCATGTAGAAAGAGTTGCACCTCCTGAGCCATGGTAAAAGGAGAAAGACAAGCCTTTAAGAAGGGGGAAAAAGGGAAGAGACTATTCATACAGAAAGGTCGGTTTTCATTCATGAATTTTGTCCTAAGTTGGTAGAAAGTCTAATTTCTATCAGTCCTTGCCATTTCTTATAAAATAAATGACATATCTGATCAATGGGAAGTTAACATGGGGAACAAATTAAGCCATGTGTTATGGCAAACCACACATTGTGAATCTTGGCGCTGCTAAAAAACTTCACAAAAGCAAGAAGATAGTGGCTTGGTAGGGTGGGACTATTGTATTTAGATTCAAAAATCTAAATAGCCAGAATATAAACTTTGGTTATTATGAAAGGTAAAACTTTGCATTTTATTACTTTTTTAATAGGCTGGAGTCAAAGGAAAATTAGGCAGACTCCTGGGCATATTTGAGGTGAGTTACCAAAGTAATCCTCAACTTTCTGATAACAGAGTTAATGATACCTTCCAAGCCACCCAGGTAATATGGCAGCAGCCTGATTATCAGTAGGCAAGTAAGTCATAAGGATTAGGAGGGAGGTAAGTAAAAGCTACTTAACTTCTTCATACACCATCAATTGTATACAATTTTATACAACATCATAATGGTAGTCATTACTGCTGTATGACTATTCAGTGGAGCAAATATAGAAAGATTTATCTCTTAGTTCGCTGTATACTGTTTAGGTATATATATATATACTTTAGGAAGTACAATACCTTTAAAAATCAAACCTGTTGCCATCGAGTCAATTCCAACTTATAGCTACCTTATAGGACAGAGTAAAACTGCCCCATAGGGTTTCCAAGGAGCGGCTGGTGGATTCGAACAGCTGACCTTTTGATTAGCAGTCGTACCTCTCACCCACTGTGCCACCAGGGCTCTACGATACATGTAGCATCACCTAAAGGTCTTAGGTCTGTTATGGATACTGTCTGGAAAAAAAAGTACCCATTCCCTTCAGCATATAACACCAGACAAATGGACATAATGACTTTATCATTACAAGGACTGAAGATACAAAACTGACGTACGTGGAGTAGATACCAACATAATAGAATTCTGTTCCATGTAACCCCTTACTACTGAGGGCAGAGTGGAATTTGTAGGGAGGGAATTGGAAGTGATAGGTATTCTATGGAAGATAGGGAAAAAATGAAGTAAGGTCGTGAGACCCAAGCTATTTTCAAATATATTTTCATCCAAGATTCAGACCTAGATACACAACATACCAGAAACATGATTTTTACTGGTTTCTTTTTCCTTTTTTTCCAAGATACTGTTTAAGGGTTAGCTCAGTTCTCCTAAGGAGCCCTGGTGGCACAGTGGTTAAAGCGCTCGGCCGCTGACTGGAAAGTCAGCAGCTTGAACCTACTCAGTGTCTCAGTGATCTGCTCCCATTAAGATTCCAAGCTAGAAAACCCTGTGGGGCAGTTCTAGTCTATCATATGGGGTCAGTATGAGTCAAAATCGACTTGATGGCAGCAGGTTTAATGGGTCAGTCCTTCTGGTAGAATCATATAAATTTTTATTTTTAAATCTTTTTACGGTGATTCAGAAGAAAAAATCGCGATTTCTACGGAACTTGGTAGAATTGATGATTCCCACCAGAATAACCATTGGGAGTAATAGTTCCTTCAGGTAATATTCATCCATTTCCAGAATTCAGCACTTGCTTACCCAGTTAAATAGCACCATCTTCTGGTTAAACTGAAAAACATGTTGAGGGTTTTCTGCGATCCAGAATAGCCACGGAACAAATAGCAGCATATTTTGTCAATATGCTGACAAGGTTTTTGAAGAAAACATCGCAAATTATAAATAAAGTTTGTGTAACACAGGTAAGGTAGTAGTATGAACTGCTTGACAAACAATATTTAAATTCATAGACTCTGAACAGGAAATATCAGTGTATCTTTCCCTTTAGAAAATGTGAGGGAAAATTAGAATTGTCTTGCCATTCACCAGTGAATTTGTGAATATAGCATAATAAATGTATTCATTTGCTAGGCACAGAGATCAGACAACTGGTTCTTAAAAACAAGGAAAATATGTTGTGTCTGAAGTCTTAGATTACAGCAAACAAGGCTAAATTTTATATAGGGGTAAATATGGCTCCCTTCATCTTAAGGCAATTTTGAACTTGTAGACAAGATGAGGGGACAATTTTGAATGGGTGAAAACTGAGTTTGTAGCATATAGAACAAAAAAGATAATATTCCAGAAATGGAATAACCCAGGTATTTTAAACCCTTGCTATACAAGGGGAGCTTTAAAAATACCGATACTTAGACCTCATCCCAGACCAATTGAATCAGTACCTTTTAAACCATCATTAATCCCTAGGTGATCTAATACTCCCAGTCTAAGATGTTCGTAGAGCTGTGTTTTTTGTGCATCTTGATGAATCTCTAAGAGGAATATTCTAAAGAAACAAGCTGTTTGCCCTACAGAGGCCCTGAAGGAAGCAGTTTTCTGTAGCATGGTAAGGCTGCCAGGATTAGCCCCAGAGGATACAACCTAGGATGAAACTGCAGAAATGCAGTTTTTCCTTTAATGTAGATTCCATTCAGATCCTAAGATTTTCTTTATGAAAATAACTTGTCAAATGAACAGAAATCAGAGTGCTAGGAGTTTAGTATTGGGAGCGAATTTCACCATTAGGTAGTGAGGAAGCCCCAATTCTAGTCTCCTGTCTTTTTAACTTTTAAACGTTTTGTCTTGGATAAGCTCACTTCTGTGCCGCAGTGTTGGCAAGTACACTATGCTAATGAGCAGTAAGGCACACTGATGATTTCCCCTTGAAAATGTGTACATGCTAGCTCCTGTAGGTTAAAATGCTTTTCTTTTTATATTCAAGCAGAACCAAGACCGAAAGCACAGAACATATGTTTATGTTCTTACAGTCACAGAAATATTAGAAGATTGGGAAGATTCTGTTAACATAGGTAAGTTTCCTTTCATTTTGCTACCTGAATTCTCTTAATTCAAATACTATATACCTGCATCACAGTGTGCATCTTAAATTATTTTTGGTTACCTTTCTTTTGGAGAAAGGAAGATCAATATGTGTTTCCACATTCAAATGATCTTCAAAATTCTTCCCCAACATGTAGTTCCTATTTACATGTCCTGTACTTAGAGCTGTGATGGGCTGTCTGAAGTACCACTGCTGTAAAGTCTCTTGGTGTTTAAGTAGCTCGGACTGCTTAATCATGTGGGTTTTGGTTGGAGAATTATGGGTATTTCATTATTAGGAACTCCTTGAGATCAGTCAGTGTACTGTTTTTTGTTTTGTTTTTTAAATAACTAGATTTCAAGATTTTATATACATGCTCGTTAATTGAAGGATCTTGTACAGCTCCTAGCACGGTAGTATACCTAAGGCATTATGGTGTCTATCCTTTCCCCTACTTATTCCTAAGCCGCATGTTTGGTGTTCCCTCCACCCAGATTCATACTTACTAACTGTTCCTGATGTAGTGAGACAGTGATATTAAAGCAAACTGCCTGAAGCTCTTGTCTTTTAGTCAGAAACACCTCTTGTTTTCCTAAACTGTTGACTATTATCTACCCGCAGGTATAGCTATGGACTCTTTTCAAGGACTCACAGTGCCAAATACTCTACCTAGTAATCCCTAAGGTTTTGGCAATTCTGTTTTCTTCTCTCATGACTCGATTCTCATTCAGATGTCACTTCTTCCTGACCTTTTACTTGTTACATGGAATAATAGCACTTTATGTTTTCCAGTAATACCTGGCAATGTTCTACACAATTAGTTCCTGAAATTATTGATGTTCAAATGTTTTCTTTCCCCTCCCAGTGAAAGTTAATTAAGTACCTGACCCTGTCTACCTGTTTACATGTAGGAATAGGACTATCATAAGATGTCTAAGCCATTTCTAAATAAAAAAATAAAGTCATTTTGTGGGGGACAGGTGTACTGTTAATAGGTGACACCTTTTTAAAATTAACTTTGGTGCATAGTTACTAATGTCGTACTATTTTCTAGGAAGGAAGAGAGAGTGGTTCAAAGTAGAAGATGCCATCAAAGTTCTCCAGTGTCATAAACCTGTACATGCAGAGTATCTGGAAAAACTAAAGCTGGGCTGTTCCCCAACCAATGGAAATTCCGCTGTCCCTTCCCTCCCAGACAATAACGCCTTGTTTGTATCTGCTGCACAGACCTCTGGGTTGCCATCTGGTATAAGATAGAGAGAACCTGGAGACGTCTACCACCCTGTGCATTCTCATGGGGAGAGAGGCTTTGTTTTCCTTGGCAAGCGTCTGAATTTGCTATGCAGGGTTTTCAAACACTTTGCATGTTTTTCAGATGCTTTCAAATCTTCTTTTATTAAAAAAAAAAAAAAAAGTATAAAATATTTTAATAAGCCAAAGCCATGTGGGTTTTTTTTTTTTAAATGCCTTAACTGTGCCCCCTCCCCCACATGTTATTTTGGTTGTTTTTTCCACGGTGTTTTTTCAGTTTTTGTCCATTTGACGTCAGTCTGTGGTTTGTCAGGTCGGCTTACTAGTGGGTATATTTCCCCCATAAATTGCTTTCTCATTATTAACATATTAAACAAATCCTTCTGTGGTGAGAACTGGTAAAAATGATAATTCTTGGTATTAAAAGAAATTTTACATCCATCCCAAAATTTGTTTTCACAGGATAATTTTAATTTATAAATTCCAGATACAGACTTTTGTATTGTCCAATAATTATTTTGACAAAAGATTTAATTTGCTCTTTTCAGGGATTTGTCAACTCATTTGTCTCAATTTCACAATTGGTATTATGTCCCTAGCTACCTGATGGCTATTTCCCCTACAACCCAAAAGCAGTTTCACCCAAAGTACAACCCTGTGGAGTTGGTTATTTTTAGGGAAGTATTGTTAGCAAAATGCACATAGTAAATACATCGTATCATGAAGACTATATTCATGGAATTTTTATGTTCAATTGCCAACTCCCTTTATCAATAATCTCTTTGTACAGAATACCTTAGAACTAAATTTCCTTCAACGTAAATTGCTTTTAAAACGTATTTTCAGCTTTTAAATTTAGTGGCACCTCTTCAGGTAAACTTCCCTGTTTACCAGTAAGCACAGGATTGAGTTGAACCTTAAATGGCCAGTCAGTGGCCATCACAACACAGTTGAATAAAAATGGCTTTCTTGCAGTTCAGCTGTTAACAGACTGATATCATTAAGGCACCCTTACAGTGTCTCATCTTTCATAGGTTGTCGATAGATAATTGTTTATCATATAACTAACTTTTGGGGCAGTGTAACATACCCTGAATTATTTTGTCTTATAATTGCCTTTATACTCTCTTAAAATCAAGAATCCCATGTAAAACAGATGAGTACCTTTCTCAAACTCCCACACTTCCCCAGCCAGGTCAGAAATGAGGTGGAAGAAATCTTTTGGTTAAGCTATGAGTGTGGAAGAGTGAAAGATGGTTCTATATGTAGACTTAATTAAGCCTTTTGTAAATAACTGGTAAGTATAAAGTAGAAAATATAGTTAAAACATTCTGTTCTACCAATTAACCTTTTAAAAATATAATTGCTGCTGAAAATAGTGCTGTTACACTTAAGGAAAATCGGTGCCAGTTTTGAAAATGAGATCTTGTGCCATAAATGCAGCGAAACTAAACATAAACTTTAGTTCACAAATTAATGCTGTCAAAGGAATGAGTAAAGTAGAAAATAACTACTAACCAATGACATAATTTCATCCTAAATTATGTAGTGTGATGAAATAGGATCATCCAGAATTTTTATATTTTTCTTTGTACAGAAGTTATGTATTCTGGGTGTTTTTTAAAAAGGAAACATTTTAAATCCCACAAATTGATGCTTTCTATGAATTTTCAATGGACTAAGATTTTTTCCTTAGTAATCTCTTAAATTTCTTTAAATTATATACTTTCACAGCAGAGAAACTGGATTGTTTTTGTATAGAGGATTGCTTCCGCCTGAAATGCTGTCACAAATACTTGGGGTGGGGGGGTTATCTTGTACATGATATTCTTAAAGGTAATAATGCATGATCTTATTTTATAAACTCTTGAACTATGTATTTGACATGTAAAATATGTACAGTATTGATGTCAACCATCTCTTAAAAGTTAGCCTATAAATATTGTTGTATAATTTTCTTTGGTCAGAAACATTTGGACTAAGTAGTGCCACTCAGTCAGGATTTTCTTCAGTGCTATTTCGCAAACAACTGTCTTTCAGTCTGTGCCACTAGCAAGATGCCCAGGTCTTCTAGTTGTATAATGCAACAGAATACTTTACAGTTATCACACTTTAAATTTCACATGGGGGGGGGGGCAGTTCTTCACTACTCTTCTAGAACCCAATCAGCAAAATTATAGGAAAGGCCCTAAGGAGATTTATTTCTCATAAGAGAAAAAGCCAACAAGTATTCAGGCTAAACAGTTGAGTCTACTACAGAAGCCAAACAGTGTCTACTATTTCAATCTCCAAAGTTTGCAGAGTGTTGGGACTATCATTTGTGCTTTTCGTGTAGTAGTTGAATAAAATTGGGCAGCTAAATTATTCAGTCCCACGTGCCTCCCAAGTAAAAAACAAATCCGTTATTGTAAATTAGACTTAACAGACAGGAAATAGAAACTGTCCAGCATGTTTTGTAAACAGGTGACATTTTTCAAGCAGACACATGCCATTCAATTTTGTTGATAACACCATTGTATAAAGCAGTAAGACTGAAGGGGGGAAATGATTGTTGTATACATTTTGAATTGCTTTGCATGGTCTCATTTGAGATAATTGGTGTAAGAATCTTGACCTTTTTTTATATTTGGAAACATCGAATAAACATGGAAATAAATTGTCTTTGTTTTGTTTTTAAACATAATTATATGCACAGCAAAACAGATTATCCCAGAGCAGTAGGTTCAGGGGTTCATCCAGCCACCATGGCTCCAGAAAGTCTGGAGTCCATGAGAATTTGGAGTTCTATTCTACATTTTACCCCTTTTGATCAGTATTCTGTAGAATCTTTGACCAAAATGTTCAGTAATGGTAGCTGGGCACCATCCAGTTCTTCTGGTCTCATGGCAGAGGAGGCAGTTGTTCATGGAGGGAATTAGCTACACATTACATTTCCTTCTGATTCCTGATGGTTCTTCATCCTCTGTTGCTCCAGGTGACTAGAGACCCATTATTGTGTCCTGGATGGCCCTTGCAAGCTTTTAAGACCCCAGGCACTATGCAGTGAACTAGGAGGTAGAACATAAGCACTAGACATGTTATTAGGCCAATTAACTGGGATAGCGCATGAAACCATGACCCTAAACCTCCAAACCACAGAACCAAATTCCATGAGGTATGTGGTTATACATAAGCAGCCTCAGCAGGTACTCTTGTACAGCTTATTAACAGCACTTAATCAGCTGTGCAACCCTGCCCTTAATGTGATTTTTCCATCACCATAAACTGAAACTCAGTACTCTGTAAGCAATACCCACCCTTCCCCAGTTTCCCCTCCCTCCTGCCCTTGGTAACCACTAATAAACTTTGGTCTCTGTACATTTGCCTTTGTTTTTTTAATGTAAGTGAGGTCATACAATATTTGTCCTTTTGTGATTGACTTATTTCACTCAGCATAATGTCTTAAAGCTCCATATTATAGGACGTATCAAGACCGTATTCTACTGGCTGAGTAGTATCCCATTGTGTGTATATGTACCACATTTTGTTTATCCATTCATCTCTTGATGGGCAGGTACATGCTTCTGACTTTGAAATACGTATTTAGGATTAAATAAAGGAAATCTTTCTATTGAATGCATTGCTTCCTCAATCATGGGCTTATACCGTGTTCAAACATTCAGCCTGACCGCATACACCCACTAAGTGAAAACTTGTCTGGCATTCCACAGTAACAACTTCACTGATCTCCCATTGATGGTCATAATCTCTTATTAGGGCTACACTGCACACTTCCACTTTTGATCCTTACTAGTGGAATTACTGGGTTAAAGGAGTTGCCCACCACTAAGAAAGGAGCCTTGGTGGTGTAACAGTTAAGTGCTCGGCTGCTAACAAAGGTTGGCAGTTCAAACCCACCCAGCTGCATTGCAGGACAAAGACGTGGCGATCTGTACCCATAAAGACTACAGCCTAGAGAACCCTATGGGGCCGTTCTGTCACATGGGGTCATTATAAGTAGAAAATCGACTCAGTACCTAACATAACGGGTTGCCAGTAGCAGTCCCTGGGTGGCACAAACGATTTAAGTGCTGGGCTACTAGCTGAAAGGTTGGTTCAAACACACCCAGAGGCACCTTCCAAAAGGTCTCAGCCTTGAAAACCCTATGGATCAGTTCTACACTGCACACATGGGGTCTCCATAAGTCGGAATCAACTTGATGGCAACTAACCAGTACTTCCTGATGAATATTTTCCATCTTAACTTGCAGCCTAATGATGTAAAAAAAAAGGCATCTCATTAACCACGTGGTTATCTTCTGTATTGGCCATTCCCCTCCCTTAATGGGGTTGTGTTAATTAATAATATCACAAATGAAATGAGTTTCCAACACTTTTGTTTTCTAAATTACAATTAGTATCTGCTTTGTGCCTACCAATAGTATAGAGCACAGAACAGGTTTCCACCCTCAAGGAGCTTTATATTCTAGCAGGGGAGAAATAAGTGACTTAGTTTAGTTTCACATCAGAAGTTCCTAAAATGCCTTTCAAGGTTTTTATTTACAGACTTAGGTGCACCATCTTCAAAGGAATAAAATCTTATTTAAAAATATCCTCCACAAAATACTTGGGAACATTTTATATTGAGTTGTAAAGCAAAAGTCAGATCTTTTGGGGTTGGAGCTACTTTCTCCCTTATTTTTAATACCTTCCTGACTAGCTAGATTCTAGCAGTAATATGAAAGGACTCCTAAAGCTTATCTTTACCAAGACATAGCAAAGACCCAAATTTAGTCAAAGGCTCTATGTCTTTTTACCAGAAATGGCTGTTAGCTGCCATTGACCCCATGCACAACAGAAATGTTGCCGAGTCCTGTGCCATCCCCATGCTCAGTTGCGGATCTGGCCATTTTGATCCATAGGGTTTTCACTGGCTACTTTCCAGAAGGAGATCACTAGGCCTTTCTTCCTAGTCCGTCGGTCTGATAGCGTTGCTAAAATCTGTTCAGCATCATAGCAACATGCAAGCCTCCACTGACAGACTGGAGGTGACCGTGCATGAGGTGCACTGGCCAGGAATCAAACCCAGGTCTCGTGCGTGAAAGGTGAGAATTCTACCACTGAACAACTATTGCCCCCTTTGCCAGAAACCAATCTTAAATTCCTCTACTTTGAAATGACTTCAACAAATTATGTTCCTGAAA